AGTGGGACATCGTGTACTTCCCATTGAGTACTTTGGGCTAGATCTGCGGTGCATATAGTTAGGTCGATAGCCGACATTTTTTGGTTAATCTTATCGTACCTCGTTGGTTGGTTGTTATTTAGGAGTACTAGGTCGTTTGTTTCTATCCATTCGGATATTAGTTTGCCCTGATTATCTATTTTATCATTTATGCTCCAGGTAGGATGGTGAGCGTTAAAGTCTCCTAGGAATATAGTGGATTTGTTGCTTATTTGGAGTAGCTTATTTAGATCCTCAGGTTGGACTTTTTGTTCTACCCAGTGGTATATATTAATGATGTTTATCTTTTTGTTATTTAATGTGATTTGAATGCCGTTAGCTTCTAGGTTTGGCGTGTCTATCTTTATTTCTTCGTAGTTTATATCTCCCCTGATGTATATAATCAGTCCTCCTGCGGCTCTACCTGTTTTTGGTTTAGCTCTATCTGTTCTAACTGAGTTATAGTTCGGTAGTGTGAATTTGGATTTTTTGGAGAATTTAGTTTCCTGAATACAAGCAATATGTGGGCCTTTATCTCGTTTAAATTTAGCTTTTAGTTCATTGCCGTGGGAGATGAGTCCGTGGGCGTTCCACTGAAAAATATTTAGTCCTTCCATTATTGGGGTCGGGTGTTTGGTAATTTTCGTTTTATTTTTATTTTACTTGGTGAGTTCTTTTAGGTTGAGGTTAAAGAGGAAGAAGGGGAGATTGGTTAAGTTTAGATTGAATGCTACTTTGTGGAAGGATTTCATGCTTGCGTTTGGTGAGTTTTGACTATGCATGTAAGCTAGGAGTAAAGTGAGACTATTTAGGTTTTTGAAGGTAGTTTCATTTGTTTTAGTTGGAGTAGCTTTGATTGTTTCTTCTGTTGTGGAGTACTCTTCTTCATCAGTTAAGTTAGAATTAGCTGTTTGGGTTTCCATAGGGGTGGCTTGCGGTGTGGAGGGTTGTGTTTGGGCTTGCGGGGTGGGCGTAGTTGTGGATTTAGTGTTTGTGTTTTTTTGTTGTGCTTGCTTGTGGGTGAATGTTGTTGCCTTGTGGGCTGTAGAGTGTTTGGGTGAGGGTCGTGTTGTGGTGGTCGTTTTGTGGTTTGTTTTGCATGCGGGTGTTGATGTTGTGGCTATGTGAGGTATGGGAGAGTTGGTGAGTGGTTGTGTGGCTGCATGTGTGTGTAAGGTGGGTGCGGTTTCTATGTCGTCGTCCCAGACAGAGCTTGCGGTTATGGGTGTGGTGTTTGTTTGAGGGATGGTGTTTGGGTGCGGTGTAGGGAGAAGCGGTTTTGATGCGGGTGATGCAAAGTTTCGTGTTTGGATTTTGGCCGTTTCTATGTTAATGTGTTTGTTGGCCTGCTGGGTGAGGGTGTGTCTGTGTGGGCATTGGTTTGAAAGTGAGGTGTGTTTGATGGATTTGCAGTAGATGCACCAGGGTGAGCATGTGCCTGTGCAGTCTGTTTGTGCGCATTTTTTACATTTAGTTTTTTGAAATGTGCATTGGGAGGCTGTGTGATTATATTTGAGGCAGTTGGAACATTGTTTGACCTGTTTTATATAGGGTTTGACTTCTAAGCTAGTGTGGGCTCCGAAAGATATGTGTTTAGGGGCTTCGGGAAATCTAGCGGTCTTTTTTAAGTTGAAGATAACAATTGAGGTTGGGACCGTTTTTCCATTTCTAGTTGAGGTGATTCTGCGGGTACTTGTGATTTGAGGTTGAGGGTTTAGGTCTTGGTTTATGTTTGCTTCTAGGGAGTAAAGTTCTAAATCTTCAGTTGTTTCTCTTGGATTGACTCTAATTACGCCTCGTGTGTATTGCTGCCAGTTTGTTTTTTGTTTGATTACGGTAACGTGGAATATTTGAGTTAATTTATTGGCTGCCATGAAGGATTCTTGGTTAGGGAAAATAATTTGATATCCTTTGTTGGCTTTTTTAATGTTGCTGTAGTTTATCTTTTCTCGTTTGAACCAGAGTCCTTTTTTGTCTATTGAAAGTTGGTGTGTGAGTGTGGTGCCTGAACCTGCTGAGAAGAAGTAGAGGGCGAAGGTGGTGAGGAAGGCGGCCGGGGAGGGTGTGGGCGATGGAGGTGGAGTGGATGTGTCGAGTTTGCGTTTTTTGGTGTTTTGAGGTGGCGAGTTGGCTGGTTTGGTGGGGGTGGTGTGTTTCGTGTTTTCGCCATACTCGGTCGGGACGATGTTTTCGAGTGTAACTGTCCGATGAAAGACCCGGATATCAGTGCTAATTACCCCCCGGCCTCCTGTTTGCCCATTGTGCCATTGCCAATTACCAATCAGTGATAATTTAGTCCTGGCTTCCAGCGCTAATTACTGTAAAGTGTTGGCTTCCATTGTCTATTGCTAATCACCTATCAGCGCCAATTATATGTTGGCTTCCCGTGTTAAGTTTCCATCTTTTGTAATCTTATACTTTTGTTGTCCTTACATGTACATATATATGTTCTCTGTCTCATGGCATTTATTCACCTGATGAAGGAGTAAGCATATACTCTTAAACGCTGTGTTCCTCATAATAAAGAAGTTGACATCCGTAAATTCTCTTCCTTGTGTGTATCACTTTTAAATGCCTTTCAAAGACTTGATTCATCAATAATACCTGATGGTGATGAGAAATACTCAATGTTGTATTACTGGGTGTCAGTTTACATATATGATTGTTGTACCTACTGATTATGAATATCTGCCTGTGAGTTGCCCTGAATATCCGTTTGATAGCATTAAACCGGTACTTGATTGTTCAGAGATTAGTTTTAAATAACATTGACGATTCTATTTGAGGATTGTTGAATACAGCTTCTATTACAGTATCATTGGGTATTAAAGATATCTTCTGACAGAACCCTGGGTGTAGATAGACCAGATTAACAGGGCATAGCTGCAACACAGATATTTTCTTTAAACCCCGTATGATTATATAGTCGTTCGTACTAAACCACATGCTATAGTCATGTACGGCGTATTGTAAGGCGTATTGTAAGGCGTCAGCTTTTAGTGCAGCCTGTGAGCAAGGCCACAGTGATGGCATACATGTACTTTAAACACCAAGGGGCACTGTAATAAAATATTTTTCTTCTTCTTCTTCTTCTTCTTCTTCTGTACTAAAGATTATAATCAGATCTAATCTAGGAATCAAAGGATCCTGGCGCGACTAAGAGACACAACTCTGCACTTTGCCTCCACTCCATATGATGTTCTTAATAAATTTATATTCATATTCAGACTTTTCAATCATCAATCATCAACGCATGGTAAGCAGATATTTTTCACACGAGGAACACGACAGAGATCAATGTCGTCAACAATGGATTACGTCATAAGTCGTATGTCTTCATTCGACCTTGCCTTCGATTCCGCAAACATCAGAAGGAGGCCATTTTGGAGCTATGACAACGTCAATTTTCAGAATCTGTCTGGTCATATACGTTATAAATGATGGTGCAATGACAGATGCTGAGGGGTAAACAGCTGGTAAAGACTGTTGTAGTGTTCGATTTACCATCCCATTACAATCTGTCGTGTGCTTCCTCGTTTGAATCACTGTCGTCTTTCTCTAAACATAGGCACGAAATATCAACGACCCTAGTCTGTCATACAGACCCTCAAACAAATCTAGCCAATAAAGCCCATGCAAGTCTATAATATTTGGTAAGTCTAGTTTCAGGAAATTAAGAAAGTCTCTTGGCTCGTATATTTTATAACCATAGTTTTACAACGGTTTTTTGGTAAAAAAAATTCATTTCAGATACTATATGTTCGTCAACCTCGACCCCCATATCCTCAGTTGGCCCATGAAGCGCCCGCTCAATCCCCCGAGTCGACAGCGCTGTAGACAAATGACATGTTTGTAAATAGTATAATTCTAATCCATTTATTAGATTTTACAAAAAAGATCCCTCTTGATAATGTACGCTATTATTGGACATAAGAGGAAATATCAAGTTGTTTTATGCCGATAAAACACGTGATGGTTTTCTCCTATGACAGCTGATAGAACGTACCTAAATTCTCAATGTCACGAGTGTTTTTGTTTTTATAGAACAGTTCCATTGATGTTACATTGAAATATAGCATAACCATATTTGATGTACCTTGAATAAGTGTTTATTAGGGTCGGATAGGTGTGAAAATGGATGGATACATATTAATTGGATTTCATTGTTCTGACGACATCTGGCGTCTGTGGGAAGGCCACGGGCATATAATCGAATTAACACATCTGATTTACCTTGAATAAGTGATTTATACTGTTATCATTCACACCTACATCATGTGCCTTGTCTTGCGAAAATGTATGTTATTACAAACTAATTGGATTTCACTGTTTTACGAAGAATAGCATCTGGCTCAGGTGGGCTTACATGGGTTAAGTGTTGAAGGTGTTGGTGGTGTTGATGGTGTTGATGGTGTTGATGATATTGATGCTGTTGAAGGTGTTAATGGTGTTGATGGTGTTGAGGGTGATGATGGTTTTCTGAAGTTGTACATTTTAGAACACCACCCTAAGTAGAACAGTGTGGAAATTTGTATGTGGCAATGAAGTGTTAGAAATTGCTGATGGTTATAACTATCTTTGGTTTGTTTTGTTAACTGGATATTTAGATAATAAACGTATGACGAAAGCAGTAGCCAGCTCTGTATACAGGGCTTTAGACTCACTTAAAACCAAGTTTAAACTGCTGTGTGGTAAGAACTACCACACTAAACTATAAACGTATGACGAAAGCAGTAGCCAGCTCTGTATACAGGGCTTTAGACTCACTTATAACCAAGTTTAAACTGCTGTGTGGTAAAATTGAAATTGAAATCTAAATTGAAATCACGTCAGTTTTTATATTTTCCTTCACGGTGATGCGGTCATTTATCAAATCATGGGCAAGTGAACACTCGATGTTGCTGACGCACCAAAGTCAAACCAAAACAGTATGCTAAAGTTATGAATGCTGTCCTGGTGTAACAACGACATTACTGGAGAAACACATTGGAATAATCTTTATTCATGAACATTTCCTACAAATATGACACATAAATATCTGCCAGTTACGATATATACAAAACGTATTCCTTATTGTTCCAGTGGGCGGTAAGATCACACCCTTTATACGTCTAACTGTATACATATTGCATGATTAGTTTGGAAAGATGTCAAAATGCTAAGCATGAACACCTATATATCAAGTTACGTTTCTTTCATAGTTTACCAAGACAATTCTTTTCCATGACGTTAACAGATAAATTTTCCTCTTTGAAAACTTCATTATATGTATAAAACACAAAATCACAATGGGAAACAGAGTATTTTTAAAATATCGTATCGCCTCAACTTGTATTACAGATTTCTTTGATGAAAAATGAACTGGACCAGCGATACATGCATCACTGGTTTTCAGTCCTCTCTACTAGTCGCTCACTGGGTTTCGCTGTGCCTGCTGGGGTGGCCTAGTTCTTCATCAGCCACACCTCATTATGTCTGCCAGTCCTTCTGCTGGGTGGGTCAAACTCGGCCTTTAGGAAGTAGCTGTTGTCGTAGAGGGTGGCGTTGCCGATGGCACGTTTCAACTGGGACAGGTGATACAAAGCTTGTTTCCTGCGAGCGAAGCCGGGGAAATAGCTGAAGCAAAGAATGTATACATCACATATAGGAGTGAGTGAGTGAGTGAGTTGGGTTTAACGCCGCTTTTAACAGTATTCCAGTTATATCGCGGCGTGTCAGCTTAATGTGGGAGGAAAGCCCGAAGTGATGAAGGTCTCAGACGTTTACCACTTCGGTGAAATCCACGAGCACGGGTATGGTGCTGACAAACCTAGAAACATAATCGGGGCGAACCGGGATTCGAACCCACAATCATAGGTTTCTGGCGTGCCCAAGGGACGCAACTCTGCACAGCGAATCGCGGCGCTTAGACGACTGGGCCACCCGTGCCCCGACATATAGGAAACAGATCTCAATGGCAGCAGTGACATTGTCGTTTCGATTCTTATACTTAATGAGTATTTTCAGTAACACCTTATTGTAAGCACCGAATAGTTATTGAATATGATTTAATCTTTAGGAATCTAGGTATCCAGTCCTGTCTGGAACGTTTCCGCCCACAGCTGTGATATAACTGATCTACGGTTCGAAGAGGCCGTAACCCCACCTCGCTCAATCAAAAATGATTGGACATATGTAGAATAGTCTCTCACCTAACGTACACCTCTTGTGCAGGCCAGTTAACGATGGTGAGGTCAAGGCCGAGAGGGGTGGGCGTATCCTCCTGCAGGGCGAATGGCACCATGAAGAACATAGTCAGAGCCCCATGTGGAGACATAGGAGTTTCTGGTTCCAACTTGGTCAAGACTGGTGCAGTCATGGGGATTTCGATATCTTGAAGTAAATTAGAAAATAAAGACATTAGACATTAGACATGCATAATGTGATCGTCCGAAAGAAGGCTTTCTCGGAGAGTCATTTAATATTAAGTTATGTTTTGTTTATTTGTTTTGGTCATTTTTTGTTTAACGCCGCACTCAGCAATATTCCAGCTATATGACGGCGGTCTGTAAATACTCGGGTCTGGACCAGGCTATCCAGTGACTGACATCATGAGCATCGATCTACGTAATTGGGATACGATGACATGCATCAACGATGACAGCGAGCCTGATCACCCGATCCTGTTAGTCGCCTGTTACGACAAGCATGGTCGCCTCTTATGGAAAGGATGGGTTGCTGAAGACCTTTTCTAACCAGGATCGTCACGGGAGGAATACCACATGTAGTGGTAGTGGTAGTGGTATATTATATCAGTTAACCACCTACTTTGGTTATTTGCTCCTTTGATGTAGTCATAGAGCTTAAGAAACAGCGACCTCTTGACCGCCATCCAGTTGCCTCTGCTGACCACTCCTCGTGCACTCACCCACTTGGATGGTCCGTACCGTCTCAGCTGGTAGCCCTTAAACACACAGGATTATGAGGTGAGGTGAAATAGGGTTTAACGTCGCGTCCAAGATTATGGCACTTAAATAGCGACGTGCATGCACGTGTATATGTGTGTATGTGGCTGCTTGTACTAGTCCGGACTGATGCCGATTTATAGTGCTAGATCACTGAGACACAATGCCGCAGTTTAACACGAATACCCCACTCAGACACAGTATACTGACTCCGAGCCGACCAGTCCTTGTTTGAGCCCCTTAATGCCGAGCGCCAGGGGTAACAACAAGTACCATCTTTTAACGTCTTTTGGTATGTCGCGGTCGGGGATCGAACCCCGGACCTTCCGCTCTCCGGGCGGACGCTCTACCATTAGACCACGGAGGCGGTCACACAGGATTATGAACGCTGTAGGTAAGTACGCCTAAAGTTCAACAACACATGCATGAAATGGCTTTGTGTGCCTTGTCAAAGGGAGTATGGCATGTTTGTGGCAGCAAATGGTTTAATCTAAAAAATAGTATTTGTTCATCATCGTAAGATCATCTATAATACAGAAATGTTTACACTTGATTTTTACGGCCCGTGTTCTTATTTTCGATGAAAAATAACCCTCAGCACATTAGGTGCCTCTAAATACAAAATGTCATAATACGGAAATAGGAAGTCATGTTTTAGGAAAAACACAACACCAAATTTGTGGTTAAAATGTTACAGACGCATCTTACCTCTGCCCGCTGTAGAACGTCGAAGGCTGCGCAGTCACTTCCACCACACGAGAGAGGGGTTTGTGCCAAGGCACACGCACAGGTTGCCATAACAACAATAACTATTCCGGCTTTCATCATGGTTTTGGGACCTGGTACAAATAATGATGATAATAATAATAATACACACAAAATACACTCACATGTTACACGTAGAGAGGAAGAAAAACTTATATGACCTGGGTCTTCAATGATATATTTTTTTTAGCTATAATAACACATCAAATGTGTTTGGTTTCTTTTTCATTTTTGAAAGGGTTTTCTTTGACCTGGTTCTGATTTAGCCTTTTCGTCCTTTCTGAGTTCAATGACATCATGGACCCGTGAAGATTCCGGGGTAGAATAGGTCTTCAGCAACCCATGCTTGCCGTAAAAGGTGACTTTGCTTGTCGTAAAAGGCGACTAACGGGATCGGGTGGTCAGGCTCGCTGACTTTGTTGAAGCATGTCATCAATCCCAATTGCCTTGGATCGATGCTCATGATATTAATCACTGGATTGTCTGGTCCAGACTCGATTATTTACAGACCGCCGTCATATAGCTGGAATATTGCTGAGTGCGGCGTTAAACAACAAACCAACCAACCAACCAATGACATCATGCTGTGGTCATAATTACACATGAAACGGTTTTTGTTTTTGTTTTACATAATTGAAAGGACTTTCTTTCTTAAGAATCCTAAACATATGCAATATTCATTGGGAACATAAAAGTCCAAAGTTTAAGACAACATAGGAAACTCCATGAGACCCGGAACACCACATTCCGTACACTTCCTGCCAGGAGCGAGCGGGTTTGGTTTCAGTCACATCACTACCTGTCAGCTTGACATTGGGGAAAATACGTTGTAATGTAGGTCATAGACATTTACCCCTTTGGTTAATTCAATGAGGACGGATAGGATTCTTGCACTTCTAAGGGAAGCGACTCTGCTAAGCGAATCGCGGCTCTTCAGACGACTGCCCCTTGACTGTTAGAAATGTCTACCAAGTTTCAAATTGCATTGCTCGTGGTATGAAATTGTAATTTCAGACGGTATCGTCCTGATTAAAGACCTTTCATTGTATCAATACAGTTACAGGTTCATCAACTTAGAAATGTAGACATTTCACGAAATTAGTGATACAACAGAGGCGTAATTTAAATGTACTTACTGTTCTAGATGCCTTGCAGATGCCCCAAACCACAGGCGTCACCCTTTTAAGGGAGTCATGTTGACATCACGACGTCCCTGATTGGACGATGTTCTTTGAGCCGATATCTTATCCGCCAATACAAGTCCCTCATTTTATCAATGTTATATGACAGTTATCTCAAGTCTTAAGATTTGACAGTGTCACGGGGATGGTTCTTTTACAAGCTTTATCTGTAGCTGGAACATGGCCATCTTGCTGGCCACGTTGATATCTGGTCACAAAGTAGGGCAACCTTGCATTATGTTACGCAGCAATGGGTAATACTCTGATCAAACACATCAACTCACGCGAGATATCTGTGCATCGTATTAGCGTACTTAGAAGCATTTACTTTGTATACTTTGTACCCAGGAAGTCATCTCGTGCTGATAAGATATTTCGTGTTGGATGCTTCTTGGAGGAAATGAATGTGTATCTAAGTTATACAACGACATATGTTATTGCAACTTAACTCCAAACCAAAACATACATGCACTGTACATTCCTATCTTACAAGCGGGAACATTATTGATTTATGTAAAATTTGTGGGTCAGTAATGTAAATATTTTGTACTTATCTTAGTTTAAAAGATAATTTTGGAAGAAAAAAATCAGCGAAATATTTGCTGCTACGAGTATTTGTCAACTTTCTAACTATTCGCTTTGGCGATTCCGTAAACCAATGCTCACTCACCTCATGAGTTTTCAAATTTGAAACGTCAACACCTGAGAATAACCAGTCTCTACTATCCACCGAAACGGATTCCGTTCGGCGTAAAAGGTTAACAAACAAATAATGTTATATTCTGTCCCATTGTGTTATATATACTGCCATATTGGTCTTACACTTCAATGTGTATAACCCGAATATACTGTCACATTGTGTTCTTTTTACTATCACATTGGGTTCTGCGCAGCTAGCACACCTACATCGGGCCGATGTTGGCCTTGCATCGGCAACCGCCGGCAATATCGTCATCGGCAAACTGCAGCGGTCCGCTGTCGGGCCAATGCTGGTAATTGGCACTGACACTATCATACCAGTGTAAAATTCACTCAATATTGTTCCAATATGTTATGTAAATATATGCGTTTTCTGATATAATTATTAACTAAATATAAATGGAATTAAAATATTCATAAAGATGTCATTACCTACAGCATATCAACAAACAATTATATCTTGTAGACGTTCACGTGTCACACTGAACACTGACAGCTACATAGCAGGCTACAGTGATGTAAGATAGACGTATCCATCAAACCCATCGCGCTCAGTGAATTCTATTGTCCAGAGGCCGCAGTCGCATCGGCGTAGAAGCTATTATTATGTAATAATACAGCATCATTACCTCGTGACGTATCGTCGGTCAAGATTTAGATGAAGACAATGCACAATTCACTGATTAGGAATCAAAGTCAAAATATACGAGGCGATTACTATAAAAGTCAAGCATCTCCACTGGTCAGTACACAACACCACTGACAGTAAACTGCTTGACTGTAATCGTTCGCTGGGGATGGATTAGGTTAGGAAATTAATTACAAACTCGAATCAACACGTCAATTTTGTGATTGCTGTCAGCACAAAAAACAGTGAACATGAAATTCCTAACGTGACTTTCGGAATCTTTCAGCATTGCGTGTGCATGTCATGCGGTCTAGCTAATATTCTTACTGATCGATGAAAACAGTTGAAATGAAAAATTGCTATACAATTGATGTTTTTTAATGTCATAGTTTACATGCGAATTTTGGGGGTGTGAGGGGGGCGAAGAAGTACGGTCGTCTTATCAGGTTAAGAAAATTTATGTACATTTATGATGAAATACTGAATAAAATATTTTTAAAAAGTACTATTTCAAAGGTAATTGATGCTAAATATATATTACAAGACAATTTAACATGCCATTTATTTAATCAAAATTCAAATTAATGGTAAAACTTTGATGAGGAAAAATAGATACTGCAGTACAGATGTTTCAGGACATTATCCATTGTAGAAAAACATCCAGAGCCTTGTTTCAAATTTGATTTATTCTAACTAAAGATATATTATTTCAGTTTATCATTGTACCTTTTCCTATGTTTACAAGTAATGTAATTATGCATAAAATTACTTGTCCCCAATACTTTCCTGCTATTTTTTGCATACAAGTGTTTGTCATATGTACATACCTTTGTATCTGATCTTTTAATGATAACTGTATATTTGCACTTTTGGTTTACTGTGATGTAATCTACATATATATGGTATCATATAATAAATGAAATCTGTTTTGTCGTAACCAGACATCACAGGATTTGTTCAATATTATGTCAATATGGGGATTTCCTCACTACATTTCAATGAATGGCTATGGCTATTAAAGTGAAACTACTTTCCCATGCAATATTGGGAGGGGCTATGTTATTTGCATATATAAATACACATAATTCAATTTACTTATTTACACATATTATAAACTCATCAATTTACTTACTGGGATTCCGATAATTCTAGGGTGGGCCTTCTGCTTTTAGCTCCTAAATTTGGAAAAAGGTCCACATTTTCAAATACAATGGGGCATTTTAACATTGTGCTGTATGGGCAAGTGTGGGTGTACCTAGGGAATATATGAAATTGTCACATGAAGGGCCCATGTCAGAAAATTCCTAGAGTGAACCCTGTATTTATTAACAGGTGTCAAGACTTGAAATAATATGTACACACATATGTAAGGTGGTGCATGTGTTATCAAGTTGTGCAAGTTATCAATAACTTGTTTTGACATACTTGTGAAGTCCATTAATTGTAATTGTCAGGGTACATGAAATTACTTATAATGTGCACAATGACATTTTTTGGCTATCATTTGAAGAGCTTAGAGCTAAAAGGGGCCAAAATGCACTTTGGCCGTTTTTGCATAGTATTGCATAAATAACATCTATGAGTTCGAAAAAATATTGTATGTTTTCATTGATGCGATTTTGAAATAAAGCTACTTAAAATTCTATAAAAGGGCCAAAGTAAAGTTCCAAAAGGACCAGAGTCACTTTGCTAGATTTTAGATCAATCTCACATGTTAAATCCCATGCAAATGCCTGAGGGTAAAAAAGGGCCAAAATACAGACATTGGCCCTTTCCACCCTTACACAAATTAAAAACGTAAGTTTATTTCCTTTTTTGAATGTTTTTTATAACAACATTTATATCTCTGCTGTCAGAATGCGTTAATGTCTAGGATTTTATCGGTAAAAAAATATTCATTAACATGCATAATATTATGTGTTTTCATCGCTTTTCTCAAAACAGACTCCACATGACATTGGCCCTTATGGCTCGAAGCTCTTCATTTGTAAACAGAAGCTGAGGAGGAAGCCTGCAGCTGGGGTCTTACAAGCCACTGACAAGTACATGGCGACCCGTGTTAAAGAATGGCTTCGAGTTCCAGGAGCAAGGCTTAGAAATGTCACAAGGAAAACGCGTACTGAAAAACAGAGGTGCAGATAGGGAATCTGCAAACAAAAGTGTTGAATTGCAACGGAACAAAGAAATCCCAAAAGTTGGTGTTGACATCTTATTTTTCACAGGGTTATGCCAGGTTCTCTTGGGCACTACTGAAGTTAATAAATTATCTAAGGTATAAACTCCAAAAGATGGAGTTATGGCCTTTGCTTCATGCTTTTTTTTAAGTTGATGGAATGGGGTTGGGGGTGGGGGTGGGGGTGGGGGTGGGGGTGGGGGGAGTTTGTCTCGCAAATGAATTTGAAGCCACATAAATGAAATTGTGCAGGCCAATATGAGGGGTATATGTTTAGACTGAAGTTTAAACTTGGTTTTGAGAATGTATGTTTCACATCCGCCTTGTTGCAGGTAGTAACACTGTTTTCTTGTAAATAATAATAAATTGATAATAAAGTTTATTATTCTGTTTGGCTCTTTGTGTTTAATTATAAGTATTAACTACACATGTATTAAGGTACATTAAAAATAGTACTGTAACTAATGCTTGGATGGTGATAGGACTTGAGAGGTTGGACAATTCTAAACCTGTAATTACTGTCAGGCCAATGCCAACCCAATCCTGCGCGGATAATTATTGTCGACGTTGGGCCGATGTCCATCCGATGCTGAGTCGATAACAATTGCCTATGTTAGGCCGATGGCTGGCCAGATACTATTTACGACGTTGGGCCGATGTCGATCCGATGAGCAAAACTTCATCGGCCCGACGATGTTTGCCCACGCTGGGCCGGTGCAGTACCGATGCAGGGCCGATGAAGTTTGCCGACGTAGAGCCGATGTCGATCCGATGAGCAAAACTTCATCGGCCCGACGATGTTTGCCGACGCTGGGCCAATGCAGGGCCGACGTTGGGCCGATGTCGATCCGATGAGCAAAACTTCATCGGCCCGACGATGTTTGCCCACGCTGGGCCGGTGCAGTGCCGATGCAGGGCCGATGAAGTTTGCCGACGTTTGCCGACGTAGGGCCGATGTCGATCCGATGAGCAAATCTTCATCGGCATGATGCAGTATGCCGACGGTGGGCCAATGGTATAGCCGACGTTGGGCCGATGCAGGGCCCATGATGGCATGCAGGGCCGATGATGGCATGCTACCTCGGTGCATACTCCAGTGTATATACTCCGTATAATCTGTCACCCTGTGTGCTTTATACTTCAGTGTATATACCCCATGCATAGTGTCGCCCTGTTCTGTATACCCCAGTGTATATGTTACAGGGAATTTAGTTAATGTCTGATTCACTCAGGGAATATACATTATCCCTAAATGTTTCAGGTATTATATATATTACCTGATTTAACATCAAGTTTGTTAGACATATTCCCTGCAATTACTTTCGAGGCTCTCATATGGTCAAACTTGCCCCTCAGATATATTTGACATGATAACAAATACCTTTGACTTAACTTAACGTGTATATATATACATGTTAAGTGAAAGGTATTTGTTATCAATTTATATATACTGTCACAGGGTGTTCTATGTACTCCAGTGTATATACCATGGAAATACAGTCACATTGTGTTCTGTATACTTCAGTGTATATGCCCCGTATATACTGTCACATTGTGTTCTGTATACTCCAGTGTATATGCCCCGTATATACTGTCACATTGTGTTCTGTATACTCCAGTGTATATGCCCCGTATATACAGTCACATTGTGTTCTGTATACTCCAGTGTATATGCCCCGTATATACAGTCACATTGTGTTCTGTATACTCCAGTGTATATGCCCCGTATATACTGTCACATTGTGTTCTGTATCCTCCAGTATGTATACCACATACACAGTCACAATGTGTCCTATATACACCAGTGCGTCTCCAATAAATACTGTCACGTTGTGTTCTGTATACTCCATCATGCATTTAGCATATATACTTTCAATAAACATCAGCGGGTATAACTATATATACTGTCACTTTGTGTTTGTATACGTCAATGTATATGTACCATATATTGTCATTTTGTGTTCAATGTCCGCATATGTTTATATATCTCATGATGTTTCATTGTTTATCGTATACTCCTTGTGTCCAGCATGGTTGACGGTTGTTTTCTGTAGGTTTCGCACAGGTTAGTACAAAATTACAAAAAATAATGGTTGTCCTGTTCAGCTCCCCTTTTCAGAGAAAAAGAACTGTACGGGAAAATGATTGAGTCTCTCACAAATATCCTACATAGTAAATGTTAGAATACTGCAACCTGCTACGGATTCCAGGTCAGATAAGGTCCGTCGGATCTCCGAATAAACATACTTGACTGATTGCGTGTCATCCTGCCTGATATAGCGTGCAGCAGTGCCTCTTCACAGTGTAATTTGGGTAGCCTAGTGGTTAAAGCGTTCGCACGTCACGCCGAAGACCCGGGTTCGATTCCCGACATGGGTACTATGTGTGAAGCCCATTTCTGGTGTCCCCCGCCGTGATATTGCTGGAATATTGCTAAAAGCGGCGTAAAACCGTACTCACTCACTCACTCACTCACTCACTCACTCACTCACTCACTCACAGTGTAATTATTCAGGATATAACGAATTAAAGTACACCACTAAGCACGTATATGTTTGTATGCATTACTGAGTGTGATGTTTGTAATGTTTGACTAAAATGTATTTTGTTTGGGCTCCAAAGACAACATCCGTAGTCATATACTTTTATTTTAGCTATAACATACTACAACGAACTTTTTAAATCATTCTTAAATCTTACAAAACAGTTATGTTTACAGTCGTAGGTATTTATAAATGGTTTCCACAAATCGTGGGTTTGGGTTGGCTCGAACTTCTGGGACATGGCCCATTTCTATATGAACGTCAACATCAGTAACTGCAGTTATCTCAAGAGACGTCCATGTTGGTACGACGTTCTTTATGACTTCCCATGTGGTTTATTTAGTCCATGTCTCCCAACCAAGGCCATCTTGAAGGTCAGAGGGCGTCAATGATGTACTCAACAGTACACATGAGCGGCTGGACTGTTCAAAACTAAAGCTCTGACAGGTAGCCACTACTGCGCACGATGACGCGCATCGTATCCGGGAGGGCGAGGTCACTTCCTCTAAGACAGGTCCCAGTCTGTTTTTCTGGTCCTTCCCCATCCTATGCCAGTGGCGTGTTACGAAACCTGCAAAACAACCACTACATGCAATGCATCATTATGCTTATATGACCTCAAGCAATATTGGAGTTGATTTTCAAGGTTCATTTGCTATCAAAGGCTCATAACTACAAATTAATATCAATTCAATTATATTGCTACGCTTGAACAACGATCGATAACGGATCGCACTTTTTTCTTAATAAAAATTATATTATAATGGCAGCATCCATCCATCCATCCATCCATCCATCCATCTATCCATCCATCCATCCATCCATCCATCCCATGAAAAGCAAATACCCTGATGTGAGACTGCATTGACAGGAAGTACCTTTACCGATTACTGAGTCACATATGACGACAGTTGCCAATTTGTATGTTAGCTGCAAAAACCTCATTTTAAAAATTTCAATCTAGATGGCGTAGTGCAAAGTGCGATCTGTATATGGTGCATGACATTTCTTTATTTAGCGGCTTACACTGTGACGTGTTACAGCTCTGGGTCTCTTCACCATGGCCCAAACAGTAATCTTCATTTTCCTGTGGGGCGGGGTTGTCACATGATCTCACACGAGACCTCGGTGTTTGGCAGCCACATGGCGACCATTCACCCCATTCGCCCCACCCGCTATTAACCTCTGTGAAGGACAGATCAAGACAATGGGAAAGTTGATGAACATTATTATGAAAACCATTATTACTGTAAGATGTACGACTACATGCAAACAGACCCTGCCCATCCACCCCATCTCCACCCAAGGTAAGGTTTGCAACCAAATTTAAACCAACACAGATATAATGTAATGCATTTGCATATCTGCTTACTGTACATACAGTTACACTAAATTGTTAGGCACGTGAAGATCCGGGTTAGAATAGGTCTTCAGCAACCCATGCTTGCCATAAGAGGCGATCATGCCTGTCGTAAGGGGCAACTAATAGGATCGGGTGATCAGGCTTGGTTCATGCATGTCATCGTATTCTAGTTGGGTAGATCGATGCTCATGATGTCAATCACTGGATTGTCTGGTCCAGACTCGACTATTTACAATCTCCGTCATGTATGGAATATTGCTGAGTGCGGCGTGAAAAGGAAATTTTGATATTATATAGCAATATGTATAGATATAAAACGTCAAGGCCAGAAAATAACCAGTCTCGACTATCCCACGAAACAGATTCCATCGGGCGTAAAAGGGTAATATCGGTGAAAGATATACAAATGGATCACAGATAATCAATGATGACACCAGGTGTTCGCGAAATGGGTAAGCATGTCCTATGCTACCGGTCGCACCCTCACACAATGTAAGGAAAGTATGTGTTTTTTGCATGACACCGCATTGCAGTACTTAAAAGGAACACTCATGCTCTAGACCTTTTAAGCCATAAATAAGTAATGTTTTTTTTATATCAAAAGACAGATCGTGCACGTGCTCAAGGAAGTAAAACCACCATACTGTAACATAAAATTGACTTAATAGAAGACAGATTTCAGATTCTATTACTATTACTATCTACTACAGATTACTATGGGCAACACGGGTTTTTATTCCACCAAGGATAACACAACTCCGCCGTTCTGCCAGTTGGTAGCGGTCAATTTCAGCGGACACTCATCCAAGTTGAGGAGTTGACCCTTATACCTGTACGCGTGTCCATCTCATCAATGCGAAATCGCAAAGTGCGCAATCTGTATCAGTTGAAGGTGCTCGGTAAATCTCACCTATATCTACTTCGCATAGGTAGTCAAGGGGCATCACGCACGGAACCGGCTCCCAGGAGTGCACCCCAACCTGTCCACTGAGTGCAAGGCAATGATCTTGGGACAAATAAAAACATCTTCTTCTCAGACAACGTAAAGCATAGTTCCATATCACGATACGATCGTATATCTGGATAAGTCAACACAATTTTCTATGTTTAATACATCGAGCATACAAACTGCTTAATATATATGTATTATATTAGATTATGTCCCCAATATTTTCAAAATAGCCCTCTTGCATGCACAGGGGAATAATGGAGCCTCAGACTGAATTACTGAAGTTCACTCGACCTAAATTTAACACAATCCTTGTTCAACAATACCCTTACCTGGTGGAGGTGTGGCAAGAAGACCTATCCGTGACCAAAGGAGAGGTGTGTAGTCACCCCACATCCACGATCCGTCAGCTGTTGCCTTCAGCCCCACCCACACAGGGTTTCCCACGACGCCTTGAGCGTCCCTGGGTACAGAATTACACTTTGGGTCGTATTCACGAGCTGATTTTTAAGCATTTGGTTTAATGACGAGAACATCATTTTGTCGACGTAGCACGAGTCTATATAGCCTTTGTGTAATATGCTAGCTATGACTGAAGAAACTCACAGTTGAAGTTATGTGAGTGTCCGCGTTTTGGATTCACGCAGCTTGAAGCAACATTTCAGTTATTTTAAGAAAGGAGGCACCAAGGATGCGCCTCACTCAATGTACCAGTTACTGAAGACAAAGTGAGTGAATGAGGATTTTGGCCGCCTTCGGCACTATTTAAGCAATATCACGGCGGGAGTCACCAGAAATAGGCTTCACACATTGTACCCATGAATGGAATCGATCCCTAGATGACGTGGCGTGGCCCTACAGCAGAACTATCCTGCTGACAGGAAGGTTACCTAAATGACGTTACGTAGCCCCACCACGGAACTATCCGGCTGACAGATAGGTTACCTAAATGACGTGACGTAGTTCTTCCACTGAACTATCCTGCTGACAGAAAGGTTACTTAAATGACGTGACGTAGTTCTTCCACTGAACTATCCGGCTGACAGAAAGGTTACCTAAATGACGTGACGTAGCCCAACCACGGAACTATCCTGCTGAAAGAAAGGTTACTTAAATGACGTGACGTAGTTCTTCCACTGAACTATCCGGCTGACAGAAAGGTTACCTAAATGACGTTACGTAGCCCCACCACGGAACTATCCTGCTGAAAGAAAGGTTACTTAAATGACGTGACGTAGTTCCACCACGGAACTATCCGGCTGACAGAAAGGTTACCTAAGTGACGTGACGAAGCCCCACCACGGAACTATTCGGCTGACAGAAAGGTTACCTAAATGACGTTACGTATCTCCACCACGGAACTATCCGGCTGACAGAAAGGTTACCTAAATGACGTTACGTAGCCCCACCACGGAACTATCCTGCTGACAGAAAGGTTACCTAAGTGACGTGACGAAGCCCCACCACGGAACAATCCTGCTGACAGAAAGGTTACCTAAATGACGTGACGTAGCTCTCCTCTTGATCGTCGTCAATAGAAACAAGATGTCCGCCTTCGTCAAAGCAATTGTCATCGGCGGTGGTCCAGTCTCTGGGATTTGTCATGTACATGTAGCAGTGGGGACCCTCCACATGCCACGGTGGCGGGCAGCCTGGGTAGTGAATATAAAGAAACGTAATGAACTACACAGCATTTACTTGGGATAAAACTTGAGTTACCCCCTCTTGAAATTTGTAACAGAGTTTAGCACTGCCCTTTATACACGCAACATAGCGAATATTGAGTGGTTTGTGTCCTATGCATGATCGGTAAGTAATATCATCAGCCTTGCTCACACTTTAATAAACTCTTCTATCATTGTAACATATCATGGACTTTGAACTCAAACGAGTTATGAGGTGAGGTGAGGTGAAATGGGGTTTAACGTCGCGTTCAAGATTATTCCACATATATAGCGACGTGCATGCACGTGTATGTGTGTGTGTGACTGCTTGTACTAGTCCGGACTGATGCCGATTTATAGTATTAGCACACTGAGATACCATGCCGCAGTTTAACATGAATACCCCACTCAGACACAGTATACTGACTCCGAGCCGACCAGTCCTTGTTTTAGCCCCTTAATGCCGAGCGCCAGACAGGGTAACAACGTTTTGGTATGACGCGGCTGGGGATCGAACCCCGAACCTTCCGCTCTCCGGGCGGACGCTCTACCATTAGACCACGGAGGCGGTCTCAAACGAGTTATGCCCTACATGAGACATAATATCCCCCTCACTGTTTCCCTCGGCATGCCTCCTCTCGGTATTTAACCACAGTGATACTGTATAAGTGAGTGAGTGAGTGTGTGTGAGTTGGGTTTAACGCCCCTTTGAACAGTGTTTTAGTTATATCAAGGCGTGTCAGCTTAATGTGGGAGGAATTGTCGAAGGGATGTGGGTCTCAGACGTTTACCACTTTGGTGACACCAGTGAGCACGGTTGTGGTGCTGACAAAATGGGGACGAACCGATGTGGACGCCAAACATCTATGATCGTTGGTTCGAATCCCGGTTATGTTTCTTGGTTTGTCAGCACCCTACCCATGTTCGTGGGTTTCACCAAAGTGGTAAACGTCTAAGACATGCATCACTTTTGCTTTCCACTCACATTACGCTGACACGCGGTGATACAACTGGAATACTCTTCAAAGCCGCGTTAAACCCAACTCACTCACTCGGTCATAGTAAAATTGGGTTTTATTGCTGCTTTGAACAGCAATTCAGTTGTATCTAGGCTTGTCAAGTTTTTGCGGGAGGAAAACCGGAAGTGAGGTATATTTTCTACGTTTACGACTTTGGTTCAACCCACGAGCACTGTTACATGTAGGGTCCTGAGAAAGCGAGGGCGTACCTGGGTAGCATCCTGCACGCCTAAGGCCGTCTAATTCCTGCATCTGAGTTGACTTTCAGCGTTAGTATGTACACAATTCACCCTCAAAGACACCATTTCGTTGTCAAGATGGACAAGGAAAATAATTAATACCTATACACAGAGCATGTTTGACTCATCTGGTCAAAACCGCCTCCGTGGTCTAGTGGTAGAGCGTCCGCCCGGAGAGCGGAAGGTTCGGGGTTCGATGCCCGGCCGCGTCATACCAAAAGACGTTAAAAGATGGTACTTGTTGTAACCCTGTCTGGCGCTCGGCATTAAAGGGCTAAAACAAGGACTGGTCGGCTCGGAGTCAGTATACTGTGTCTGAGTGGGGTATTCATGTTAAACTGCGGCATGGTATCTCAGTGTGCTAGCACTATAAATTGGCATCAGTCCGGACTAGTACAAGCAGCCACACACACACGTGCATGCACGTCGCTATATAAGTGCAATAATCTTGGACGCGACGTTAAACCCCATTTAACCTCACCTCACCTCATCTGGTCAAAGAACATGTTTGTTTCAATGAACGACCTGACAATGCTCAGATTTAAAAGGGGGTCGGAGATCGCGAGACGAGAAAACATGTTATTTAACAAGAAAAGGTTCAATGTTCTATTTGTTATGCACTGTTAACTGGTCTTGCAACAACAATGTGACCAAGGCGGACTGAAAGTAAGGAAGAGAATTTATGGATGTCAACTTTTATATTTTGAGGATCACAACGTTTCGGAGTATATAATATGTATGTTCCTGTTAAGTTTCCACCTTTGTTATCTTATTACTTTTGTTGTTATTGGTACATATATATATCTTCTCTACTTCAAACACGAAGGAGTAAGTATCTACTCCGAGGTTGTGTTCCTTATAATAAAGAAGTTGACATCCATAAATTCTCCTCCTCATGTGTATCACCTCTAAAAGTCTCTTAGAGGACTGAAATTAGTTTCGGAATCGAGATACAGTAAACTACGGTTAAAACGAACTCAAAGGGACTGCTAATCTTAGTTCGTTATAACCGTAGTTCGTTATAAGCATATACACAGCAATGGCCTGGACCAAAAAATAAATTCGTTATATCCGTCAGTTCGTTATAAGTGTGATCGTTATAACCGTAGTTTACTGTACCATTAAACGAGAGCCACATAGAGAAAATGTTATTTTTTCTGATAACCGCTGAGTATATTGTTCTATATACCTACCCCAGATTGGCGAGATCGCAAGAAGCAGCCATATACCGGACAGTGCCATAACTCTGTATCCTCAGTGAAAGTGGAAATCATGATTGAAGTTATAGAACATGACCGCCCTTTCACCACCATTAATGAATTCATGATTATTGGTGAATCCCAGAGAGCATCACTTAGCGCCATTAGGGGTAAGCAATCTGTTCTCTCAGGGTCGTGACTCCATATAGCATTTGAAAGGAAAATAATCATATGGACATTGCACCTTATTCAAAGCAAAGGTTTTACAGATAAAGCCACCTTACCAGTAGTCGGGGGAATCTATGAACGCAGTGTCATCATTATAATCAGATAATTAGAAAAGGACAGATTTGTTCCCTAAGGACATTTTACGTTCAGGTACTGTTATTATAACGGATCAATCGTCAGTCAAACACTAATAGATCAGGATCGATATACAAATAAATGATTATCCTGTAATGTCTCCGTTTTAGGTGAGGAATGATTAAACACACCTAGAATCTGTTTGGAGGGTAGAAATACACCGTGGAGCCTATGTATGACGTCAGTGTGTGTGTGTGTGTGTGTGTGTGTGTGTGTGTGTGTGTGTGTGTGTGTGTGTGTGTGTGTGTGTGTGTGTGTGTGTGTGTGTGTTATCGGGCAAAAGTTACATTAAAAAACATACTGGTCTCTTTGATGGAGGACTCGAACTGACTACACCAATAGCATAAAGCCCGTTCAGAGATGAGGTGAGGTGAAATGGGCCTTCTCGTCGCGTTCAAGGTTATTTCCCTTTTACAGCGACGTGTATGCACGTATGTGTGTTATAATGTGTTATAATGCTTGCACACTGAGATACCATGCCGCAGTCGGACATGGGTACCCCACTCAGGCACTGTATGCTGACTCGCCTAATACTTATCCCTTTACTGCACTCAGCAATATTCCACCTATATGACGGCGGTTTGTGAATAATCGACTTTGGAACAGACAATCCAGCGATTGACATCGTGAGCATCGATCCACGCCACTGGGATACTATGACATGCTTCAACCAAGTAGGCGAGCCTGACCACCCGATCCCGTTAGTCGCCTCTTAGGACAAGCATAGTCGCACGCTACTACTATCATTGCAACACTAAAGAAACACACAACAAACATACGATCTAACCTATGGCCACAACCACGGATAAATACAGGACATTATTCTACACAGAGACTCACAACGCCTCAGTGTGCTCAACAATCTATTTAAATACCAATCTGTTTTAAGTGTAATTGAGTCTGAAGCTATTTCCATGGTAACCACCAATGTCACTGGATTAACATTCGGCACCTAAACTTGCAATTCACCTTAAGGGACGGACCAGTTAATGTTTTGTCTTAACAAAATAATTTGTTCCACATCAACATAAAGAAATTACCCAGGTCTGTTCGTTGGACATGCTTGGCGTCCTAAAATGTATTGTCGAAAAAAATTAAAGAAAATATAGACCCTTAAATATAGGACGTCAATGCAAGAAAATAATCGGCCAAAACAGATTCCATGGTCTTCAAAAGGCAAAATGGCGGTGAAAATTAATGACACGAGGTGTTCACGTGAAGGATAAGCAGAATTACTCTTGCCATACGGTGGAAGAGATCCCCCCAGAAAAAATAACAAATGGTGGGCCCATCGCCTTCTACATCATCATCATCATCATCATCATCATCATCATCATCATCATCCATTGCCCATCCATCACTACTCCATCACAGCCATCGCCCACTCAATCATCATCCATCACCCACCCCATCACAGCCATCGCCCACTCTATCACCATCCATCACCCACTCCATCACAGCCATCGCCCACTCCATCACAGCCATCGCCCACTCCATCACAGCCATCGCCCACACTATCACAGCCATCGCCCACTCCATCACAGCCATCGCCCACTCCATCACAGCCATCGCCCACACTATCACAGCCATCGCCCACTCTATCACCATCCATCACCCACTCCATCACAGCCATCGCCCACTCTATCACCATCCATCACCCACTCCATCACAGCCATCGCCCACTCCATCACAGCCATCGCCCACTCTATCACCATCCATCACCCACTCCATCACAGCCATCGCCCACTCCATCACAGCCATCGCCCACACTATCACAGCCATCGCCCACTCCATCACAGCCATCGCCCACTCCATCACAGCCATCGCCCACACTATCACAGCCATCGCCCACTCTATCACCATCCATCACCCACTCCATCACAGCCATCGCCCACTCCATCACAGCCATCGCCCACTCTATCACCATCCATCACCCACTCCATCACAGCCATCGCCCACTCCATCACAGCCATCGCCCACTCTATCACCATCCATCGCCCACTCCATCACAGCCATCGCTCACTCAATCATCATCCATCACCCACTCTATCACCATCCATCACCCACTCTATCACCATCCATCACCCACTCTATCACCATCCATCACCCACTCTATCACCATCCATCACCCACTCCATCACAGCCATCGCCCGCTCTATCACCATCCATCGCTCACTCCATCACAGCCATCGCCCACTCTATCACCATCTATCACCCACTCTATCACCATCCATCACCCACTCTATCACCATCCATCACCCACTCTATCACCATCCATCACCCACTCCATCACAGCCATCGCCCACTCTATCACCATCCATCGCCCACTCTATCACCATCCATCGCCCACTCTATCACCATCCATCGCCCACTCTATCACCATCCATCACCCACTCCATCACAGCCATCGCCCGCTCTATCACCATCCATCGCCCACTCTATCACCATCCATCGCCCACTCCATCGCCATCCATCGCCCTTTCCATCCCCATCCATCACCCTCTCATCACCATCCATCACCCTCTCATCACCATCCATCACCAACTCTTCACCATCCATCGCCCACTCATCACCATCCATTGCCCACTCTATCACCATCCATCACCCACTCATCACCATCCATCGCCCACTCATCACCATCCATCGCCCACTCTATCACCATCCATCACCCACTCCATCACAGCCATCGCCCACTCAATCATCATCCATCACCCACTCCATCACAGCCATCGCCCACTCTATCACCATCTATCACCCACTCTATCACCATCCATCACCCACTCCATCACAGCCATCGCCCACTCAATCATCATCCATCACCCACTCCATCACAGCCATCGCCCACTCTATCACCATCTATCACCCACTCTATCACCATCCATCACCCACTCTATCACCATCCATCGCTCACTCTATCACCATCCATCACCCACTCTATCACCATCTATCACCCACTCTATCACCATCCATCACCCACTCTATCACCATCCATCGCCCACTCTATCACCATCCATCACCCACTCCATCACAGCCATCGCCCACTCAATCATCATCCATCACCCACTCCATCACAGCCATCGCCCACTCTATCACCATCTATCACCCACTCTATCACCATCCATCACCCACTCTATCACCATCCATCGCTCACTCTATCACCATCCATCACCCACTCTATCACCATCTATCACCCACTCTATCACCATCCATCACCCACTCTATCACCATCCATCACCCACTCCATCACAGCCATCGCCCGCTCTATCACCATCTATCACCCACTCTATCACCATCCATCACCCACTCCATCACAGCCATCGCCCACTCTATCACCATCTATCACCCACTCTATCACCATCCATCACCCACTCTATCACCATCCATCGCCCACTCTATCACCATCTATCACCCACTCTATCACCATCCATCACCCACTCTATCACCATCCATCACCCACTCTATCACCATCCATCACCCACTCCATCACAGCCATCGCCCGCTCTATCACCATCCATCGCTCACTCTATCACCATCCATCGCCCACTCTATCACCATCTATCACCCACTCTATCACCATCCATCACCCACTCTATCACCATCCATCACCCACTCTATCACCATCCATCACCCACTCTATCACCATCCATCACCCACTCTATCACCATCCATCACCCACTCCATCACAGCCATCGCCCGCTCTATCACCATCCATCGCCCGCTCTATCACCATCCATCACCCACTCCATCACAGCCATCGCCCACTCTATCACCATCCATCACCCACTCCATCACAGCCATCGCCCGCTCTATCACCATCCATCGCCCGCTCTATCATCATCCATCACCCACTCCATCACAGCCATCGCCCACTCTATCACCATCCATCACCCACTCTATCACCATCCATCACCCACTCTATCACCATCCATCACCCATTCTATCACCATCCATCACCCACTCCATCACAGCCATCGCCCGCTCTATCACCATCCATCGCTCACTCTATCACCATCCATCACCCACTCCATCACAGCCATCGCCCACTCTATCACCATCCATCGCCCACTCTATCACCATCCATCGCCCACTCTATCACCATCCATCGCCCACTCTATCACCATCCATCACCCACTCCATCACAGCCATCGCCCGCTCTATCACCATCCATCGCCCACTCTATCACCATCCATCGCCCACTCCATCGCCATCCATCGCCCTTTCCATCCCCATCCATCACCCTCTCATCACCATCCATCACCCTCTCATCACCATCCATCACCAACTCTTCACCATCCATCGCCCACTCATCACCATCCATTGCCCACTCTATCACCATCCATCACCCACTCATCACCATCCATCGCCCACTCATCACCATCCATCGCCCACTCTATCACCATCCATCACCCACTCATCACCATCCATCGCCCACTCATCACCATCCATCGCCCACTCTATCACAGCCATCACCCACTCCATCACCATCCATCACCCACTCCATCACCATCCATCACCCACTCTATCACCATCCATCTCCCACTCCATCACCATCCATCGCCCTTTCCATCACCATCCATCACCCTCTCATCACCATCCATCACCCTCTCATCACCATCCATCACCAACTCTTCACAATCCATCGCCCACTCATCACCATCCATCGCCCACTCCATCACCATCCATCGCCCACTCCATCCCCATCCATCGCCCACTCAATCACCGTTCACCGCCCACTCCATCACCATCCATCGCCCACTCATCACCATTTATCACCCTCTCATCCCCATCCATCACCCTCTCATCACCATCCATCGCCCACTCAATCACCGTTCACCGCCCACTCCATCACCATCCATCGCCCACTCATCACCATTCATCACCCACTCATCACCATCAAACGCCCACTCCATCACCATCCATCACCCACTCTTTCACATCCATCGCCAATTTATCACCATCCATCGCCCACTCTATCACCATCCATCGCCCACTCTATCACCATCCATCGCCCATTTATCACCATCCACCACCCACTCCATCACATACATCGCCTACTCATCACCATCCATCGCCTACTCCATTACCATCCATCACCCACTGCATCACCTGCACCGTTCACCGCCCACTCCATCACCATCCATCGCCCACTCCATCACCATCCATCACCCACTCTATCACCATCCATCTCCCACTCCATCACCATCCATCGCCCTTTCCATCACCATCCATCACCCTCTCATCACCCTCTCATCACCATCCATCACCAACTCTTCACAATCCATCGCCCACTCATCACCATCCATCGCCCACTCCATCACCATCCATCGCCCACTCCATCCCCATCCATCGCCCACTCAATCACCGTTCACCGCCCACTCCATCACCATCCATCGCCCACTCATCACCATTCATCACCCTCTCATCCCCATCCATCACCCTCTCATCACCATCCATCGCCCACTCAATCACCGTTCACCGCCCACTCCATCACCATCCATCGCCCACTCATCACCATTCATCACCCACTCATCACCATCAAACGCCCACTCCATCACCATCCATCACCCACTCTTTCACATCCATCGCCAATTTATCACCATCCATCGCCCACTCTATCACCATCCATCGCCCACTCTATCACCATCCATCGCCCACTCTATCACCATCCATCGCCCATTTATCACCATCCACCACCCACTCCATCACATACATCGCCTACTCATCACCATCCATCGCCTACTCCATTACCATCCATCACCCACTGCATCACCTGCACCGTTCACCGCCCACTCCATCACCATCCATCGCCCACTCATCACCGTCGACCCCCAACGCCCGTTACATCACCATCACCATCCATCCTCCACTCCATCACCATCCTTCGCCTACTCTATCATCACCATCCAAACCCACCATCGCCTTGTCGAGCCATCACTAAACCATAGTCAGTATTTGTGAAATATGTTTCCCGTGAGAAAGAGCAGGTAAACAATCAAGAGCTATCGTGTTCATTCTGATTAAAGTTGCAACCTTGTATCACAAACCAACAATGTATTGCGAGGGGAAAGTGTGTTTGGCCAGGTGCGTTTCCTTCTGACGATGCACCTGTTTTTTTCTACGCACGAACAACACAACGCCGTAGGACCAAACCTTCGCGAAATGTAAAGTGTCGTTACAAGGAAACTTTCGAATAAATGTTGCAGACAGCTTCTATTAAATTATATGTACTTTATGTACCATTCTACGATTGGTCCAAATTATTTGGAAGGAAAGCTAACGAGATATGAGGCTTTACTTCTTACATACCATAAAACTCCAGCTTTAATGAAGTAAAATATTCAGTTCAATTGCCAATACGTTGACCATTGTGTGAGTGGCGGGCAGGACATGCTTGCCCTTTTCGTGAGCACCTGGTGTGATCACTGATTTTCAGTTCTCCATTCATATGATTTTCACTGCTGTTTTTCCTTTTGCGGCCTATGGAGTTTCGTCGGATGGTCGAATATGGTTATTCTCTGGTGTTGTTCCATATTAACCTATGGTGATTAAATTTAAAGAACCCTCTGCCTTTGATTTATAATTACATTATATGTGTCCCGACAGGAGAAAGGGGACCTCATGGATGCTAGGATACAATTGTGTGGTGACGAATAAAGAAAGACGTACGTGTGACCTTACTTCCTTTTAAATCGCCATGTAGATATTACGCGGAATGTACAAATATATCTTATTTTTCTCGTTAGTTCGTAATGTAATAAAAGCATTATTTCAATTTTTTTTATCATACATGTCTACTTTCGATTAATCAGTCAGTATATCCAAATTATTACAACAGTTATTTTTTCAAGTCTAGAAATGGGATTTTACATAAAAATAATCCAAATGTTTGATGCCAAGTATTTCTGTAATAAATAAGAATTGAAGCTTGTGCATTGTGTTCCTGTTTTCCTTAGACACTGTATTTTTAAAATCTAATGAGAAGTCAAAATGTGATTTTTCATCCATAAGGTCCGACTGATTATGTTTCTAGGTTTGTCAGCACCATACCCGTGCTCGTGGGTTTCACCGAAGTGGTAAACGTCCGAGACCTTCATCACTTCGGGCTTTCCTCCCACATTAAGCTGACCCGCCGAGATATAACTGGAATAATGTTAAAAGCGGCGTTAAACCAAACTCACTCACTCACTGATAATAAGTATAGTTGAACATTTAACACTGCAACATATCAAATAAGTTGCAGGTATGAAGATGGGAGGCTGGCAGCATCTTTGGTATAAGTTACCAGCCAGGTTGTCTTCAATTAGGAGATAAACATACTGTGTTTTCAATGTAGAGCTAGGTTACCTGTAGATTTAACCCCGCTAAATTGAATTTGGAACCGAACGCGCAGCGTGAGGTTTCAAATGTTAAATTTAGCGCGGTTAAATCTACAGGTAACCTAGCTGTACATTGAAAACACAGATTGTTTATCTCCATTCTACCATGACTAAATAAAACGCGAACTCTTTGGTGTTAGCAAATATACTGAGTGAAGCGGCATGGGTTTAGTACAGTGTTTTGAGTGGGTTATCGATCTGAATTACGGAATCACCGAACAAAATATGGTGCCGTATATACTAAAGCAGTTTGTTTACACCGTAATACTTCACTCGAACATGTGACAGGCATTGAAAGCATATAAGCACGTCAACTTGGTAAGCTAACATGAGGTGGGCATCCCGAAAGAAAACAAAACAAGTTTTGCAAGGCTTTCGCTCTACATCGCACGTCACCATTATGACGTCATATCGCTCATTGTGACGCAAAAGATATGACGTCACAGTCGTGTATAGAAAAGCGCCAAAATTCCAAGCTCTCTGTTGTCTCCAAAACGTAAATACATTCCCTTTGTTGATTTCTATCGTTTTTTTTCTGCACGAAATGTATTGCCACACATCCTTTGAATATTGTAGTAACCGCATCTGGGCATTTTGTAACCTGTAATTGTAGATATAGTTATTTAAATATGCCTACCGACAATGACTGAAAATAGTACTATTCTATGAATATTAGCTTCCGCGGTGATGCGGCCGTCAAACCATCTGTTTCAATCAGAGGGGGTTTATTGTGATTTAATAGCCTCTGATTGACCAATCAGAATCGAGTAAATTCCAAATTCATGGTAGAATGTATTGAATCACACTTGCCAGAAAGTGCCAGGAATGCCAGTACATGTAAATATATTCCATGTGCGTATGATATAGCTTTAACTTAATGACGAATTTATGTTTAAAAAGATACTTGTAAAACACAAGATTCGATGATTTGAAATCGAAGTAAGTGAGAAATTTTCGTTCAAAGCTCATTCGTATTGTAGTTTTAAGGGTTCGAACAAATACTATTCATTGTTAATAAAATAAAAATTCTTACATAAAATAAACAGCGGCATACAGAAAATTGAAATCATTGTGCCTAAAGAAAACGTCCTTGTGTTTTATTGTTATGTTCGCAACAAGGCTTCAGTTGCATGTGTATATTACATTTTGGTTTTAATGTGTTCATTGTTACCTTGCTGTAGCAATGATTAGAATCTCTGTTGCTGAAATTGTATTAATGAGGCCAGCCATGAACGCAGTACTTCTTCAGGGCGCTGTTATAAAAGTCCGGTATGTTGATGAGGGTGGCGACTGTGAGATGGCGTCCGTCATCATGACTCTTCTTCTCTATGCCGCTGTCTGTGTGGTGTGGCTGTTCGGTAAGCATTAGAGTTGTCATAGAAACTGCCGGGCTAGAGAAAGTATACACCCACGTTTGAGGGTGCCTAAAAATGAAACAAACGAGAAATTAATATTCGATGGTGATGTCTTTGACATGGGTATCATAGTTGTGATTTTGACCTTAAGTTTACAGTGTTTCGGCGACTGTTTTCATCCTAATAACGTTGCCGTAAAAGGCGACTATGTTTGTCGTAATAATGGAATGCATTGTTGGTTAACTAGAAAACCTGTTAATGGTGCTTTTCCATGTCCCTTCATTTACTACTCCACATTTTCCAATACATTGATTCATAATTTAATCTTGAGGCCTTATTTAGACAGTAACAGTTTACTTACGAGCTGGCCCGTCGAGAACCGGGTTAGAATAGGTATAAAGCAACCCATTCTTGCCGTGAAAGGCGACTATGTCGTAAGAGGCGACTAACGGGATCGGGTGGTCAGGCTCGCTGACTTGGTTGATACATGTCATCGTGTCCCAATTGCGTGGGTCGATGCTCATGATGTCAGTCACTGGATTGTCGTGTCCAGACTCGATTATTTACAGACCGCCGTCATATAGCTGTAATATGTCTGGGTGCGGCGTTAAACAACAAACATCCTCATAACATTTGTATAACGTTTGTAATTTGGGGGTCAAATCCATTTTTCGAGTTTATACTTTCTTTTGCCCGACATTTTAGTTGTTTTAAGCATCCAGTGCATAACGTTTCCATTCTATGCTGCTAAATACCCGGGACTTTCTCTCCGAAAGTTCGTTTTGTAAGTTATACTCTCGATCTCAGCATCTCTTTTCTTTAACCTCATACTGATTATATCGGAAGACTATTTCAAATAATCGATCGCCGCTACTAGCTGCAAGATTGCTGATGCGGCGTTAAACAATATTCGCTCACTCACGTTTCATTCCAATCTTACTCAAAACATGAATGGTCCGGGAATGTGTACTTTATGACAGTTGAGGATGTCAGACAATCCTGTCTAAAGAATGTACTCCGCGGTGATCTAGGATTGAAATAAGTACCAGAAAATATTGGAAAACCAAAATTGCTCACTGGACATACGTTGGACAATCTCATTAAAATCAAACCTTAGTTCTCGCTACCACAAAACAAATATTTTAGGACAACCCGTTACAGAACGACATTTCGCAAACTTTGACCGCCCAATGAAATGACTGACAAAAAGTTAATATTGGCCAATAAGAAAACAGCTTTCTCGAGCTTAATTTCAAACTCGCGTCTTCGATTCCACACAACGCTTTGAAAATATCGTTTCTAATGGAATGTCCAATAGATGGCCGAGATTGTGTGGCAATATTTCCCACGGACTAAGGCAAGTCTCTTCCTTTTTGGAATGTTTAAATCAGATTGAAGCGAGAGACAGACGATCATTTTGACGGAATCTGTCGTACAGCCCGTAACTGACGTTCGGAATACCTCGTGTTAACCATTTCGAGGTTGCATGATTCGAAAACACATTCCGACTGTCACATCCCCGATCTGGTAAGCCACGCTCTGATTGGTCGGATGAAAGGTTGTTGTGGCGTGATCTGCAATAAAGGGACGTCCTCAGATGTTTGTTTAGCGGTAGCGAGAACGAAGATCTGATTGTAATGAAATTTTATATATGACAAATTGTTCGGCTCCTCTCAAAGAAAACACTTTGCATGCCTGAAGCAGAGACCAATAAAATATTCTTTCTACGGGTTTTCCCCAGAATACGAAGATTGTACCTTTGGGGTCAATGGCATCGTCCAGAGTTTCCACTTGACTTTTATAGTCAGTTAACTCCCTTGCCTCGGGAAGATGGGTCGAAGGGTAACTAGATGTCAAGATGGGTAACAAATAGGGAGCAAAATAGAGAGGTCGCCACATGTGTCTTAACTAAATAGGGGAAAGAGAGGGGGGTTGTACAGTTCTATATTTAAATAAATGATTTAAAAAAAATATTTAGTGACTGGTTATTTATTATAAGGAAGGGGGTCTTGGAGAAAGGTTACATGTATCTGAGGAGTGGTGTGTATGGGGGTGTGGGGGGGTGGGGTGGGGTGGGGGGGGGGTGGGGGGGCATGAGACAATGTTACATACAATAGGGTGGCTCACCAAACAATTATACAGCCCCAGTACCAATCTCAAAACCCTACACCACCTTCGACCCCCAACAAAACATAAATGATCAGCCCATTGTTCAAGCCTTCCAAACATAAGATCATTTCATTTCTCCTGTTGAAGGTAGGTCAGAGGGGAGAAAGACATATACCATGACTACCCACTCGTCAGACGACACGAAGAGACTTCAGATGGACAGGTATAACCTCCCTTCTGTTCAAAGGGAGAAGGAGGTCGCCCTGTCAGTCCACAGCTGTGACGAAGTGACTGTTTTGTTTTCCCATGTAGATGTGAATGTCTACCAAAATATATTCGCGGTCACTCTGGGGAGCAACATAATCCGAATCAAATCTGGACACAACATTCATCAACTAAAACAGGAATATGTTACCCGACGTCAAATTGACATGTGCCAGAGAAGTTCTGTCCTAAAATTTTGCTGGGAAGATGACAAGATGAAAATATTTAAGCAATGCAACACAACTCTTTTTATCGCTGAGATGCAACGGAGAGCGAATCCTATAAGGTTTGTCACCGTGGTCAGTAAACAAAAGGCAGTGTGGAAATACGGTAAGCATATTTTGATAAACAGTAAACTACGGTTATAACGAACTCAAAGGGACCACTAATGTTAGTTCGTAATAACCGTAGTTCGTTATAAGCATATATACAGCTTATATACAACAGAAAAAATTCGTTATATCGGTTAGTTCGTTATACGCGTGTTCGTTATAAACGTAGTTTACTGTAGTTGATAATTCACAACTGAATCAGTTATCATTGCCGTTGTCCTGATAGTAATAGATACTGTTACACTAAATTCTAGGGGATTTGGGGAATCGAACCGAGATGAGCGGTTCCTGCTTGTCTGAAGCAGTAATGACCGCCTCCGTGGTCTTGTGGTAGAGCATCCGCCCGGAGAGCGGAAGGTCCGGAGTTCGATCCCTGACCGCGTCATAAAAAAAAGACGTTAAAAGATTGTACTTGTTGTTACCCTGTCTGGTGCTCGGCATTAAGGGGCTTAAAAAAGGACTGGTCGGCTCGGAGTCAGTATACTGTGACTGAGTGGGGTATTCATGTTAAACTGCGGCATAGTATCTCAGTGAGCTAGCACTATAAATCGGCATCAGTCCGGACAAGACAAGCAGCTACACAAAAACACACACGTACATGCACGTCGCTATATCAGTGCAATAATCTTGGACGCGACGTTAAACCCAATTTCACCTCACCTCACCTCACCTCACCTCACCTCACCTCACCTCACCTCACCTGAAGCAGTAATGAATAGTGCCGTCGACTGAATATAATACTAATAATGATGATATGGAACTGTTACAAAAATTCTAAAAATAGAAATAATGACTGACCAGTCGGAATCAAGTATTTTCAAAAGTCAAATGTTGAATTGTGATTTGCGTACTAAAGTCACCTAGCATAATATATCAGTTTCACTTGTACCAATGTAGGGGAGGTTTGCAAGGACCCACATTTCACGCCACCTTTGCCCAAGAACCACATCATAAAAGGTGAGGCATTTTTTAATATAATACAACAAAGGAAACATGGCTATGATACCCGGTAGTTGTGTATGCATGTGTGATTGTGTCACTGTGTGCGCGCGTGCGTGCGTGCGTGCGTGCGTGCGTGCGTGCGTGCGTGCGTGCGTGTGTGTGTGTGTGTGTGTGTGTGTGTGTGTGTGTGTGTGTGTGTGTGTGTGTGTGTGTGTCTGTGTCTGTGTCACTGTGGGTGTGTGTGCATGTGTGTCTGTGTCACTGTGTGCGTGCGTGTGTGTGTGTGTGTGTGTGCATGTGTGTGAGTGTCACTGTGTGCATGCGTGTGTGTGTGTGTGCATGTGTGTGTGTCACTGTGTGCGTGCGTGCGTGCGTGCGTGTGTGTGTGTGTGCGTGCGTGTGTGTGTGTGCATGTGTGTGTGTGTCACTGTGTGCATGCGTGTGTGTGTGTGTGTGCGTGCGTGCGTGCGTGTGTGCATGTGTGTGCATGTGTCTGTGTCACTGTGTGCGCGCGTGCGTGCGTGTGTGTGTGTGTGTGTGTGTCTGTGTCACTGTGGGTGTGTGTGCATGTGTGTCTGTGTCACTGTGTGCGTGCGTGTGTGTGTGTGCGTGCGTGTGTGTGTGTGTGCATGTGTGTGTGTGTCACTGTGTGCATGCGTGTGTGTGTGTGTGCGTGCGTGTGTGTGTGTGTGTGTGTCACTGTGTGCGTGCGTGCGTGCGTGCGTGAGTGTGTGTGTGTGTGTGCGTGCGTGCGCGTGCGTGTGTGTGCGTGCGTGCGTGAGTGAGTGAGTGAGTGAGTGAGTGAGTGGGTGGGTGAGTGAGTGAGTGAATGAGTGAGTGCGTGCCTGTGTGTCCAAATATCTAAACAACATATAATTCCTTTGTTTTTATTTTGACTTTTGATAATTTTATATCCTCATTAACAGTCTAATAAAGTTACAACGATATAAGCGATATATCGAGTTTTCCATACTTCGAGACAAGCGAAGTGTCTACATTCATGTAAGGGTATATTGTTAGGCTGGGGATTCTGACAGGCTAATTAAAACGTATTCGACGTACACGACGTATCGAGTTAAAGGAGTTCGAGTTTACGAATTATCGAAACAATATATATCTCATTCGTACTTACTCTATACAACAGAATATCACATTAATCGCTTATCAGATTTGTCAACCAGGACGTTTTCGACTCAATGAAATACATATCTGACTTGCTTTTCTCGAACACGATTATACATATGTACATAGGAAATATTTCTATATACAACTAATTCTATTACATGTTCTGAATTATAGAGGTCCATACCTCCAGAAGTATTGGCTACCTGCCGCTCTCGCCCGACGGCATAAATATGTCACCTTCCATGACATTCAAGGTCAAAGGATGTGGGAAGTTGTCTCTAGCATTTCACAATTTGAATCGGATGGCATTTGCAATTCGCCGACACGAGATTCAAATTGACAACAGAGCAGCCTACTCAGTAACAACCACCATAGCAACGGGATATGGATCCACCTTCAAAGGTTTACGTGTCCTCAAGAACGGAAGAATGCAACAGGGGAACAGATGCAGCGATTTCCGAACCTTTCGGGTAAATTATTCGGGAAATACCTTGCTGTTTGAGGGATGTGATTTGAGGAACGAAACACTGTTGAGATTGTCCGCACCTGACTTGGCAATGCATCAATATATGAGTGCCTTCAGTGAGAATCAAGCAGACTGGGTGTTCGGTAAGAATATATATTGTAGTTATATTCGTCATTGATCAAGTAGTGTGTATCTACTTAGGAGCGTCCACTTGTGTTCCTGGGGCTTGGATTTGTTCCCGAAAATTCTTGGGGAATTGTCCTCAGGTTTTTGAATAGAAATACATATCGTTCACTGTAACCCGGGTCTTCAGCGTGACGAGCGAACGCTTTAACCACTAGGCTACCCCACCGCCCCGCCTAGGTTTTGAACCACTGACAGAAATAAATATTCTGTCTCAAGTAAAGATCCAAACTTTTCTATGACTGAGTCGGACAATGGAACTTCAGTGTTTTAATGCAGTAGAATTAAGAAGGAACAAGGAGTCCGTGGGTTAGTAAGTGACGACCACGACTGACACAACTGCAGCATCTGCAACGGCAAGGGTAGAATGGGAGTGTAGCAGTTGATGGAATCGTCATGCCACAAACTCAATAGTTGATATTTATTCAGTACTGGTCAATCGATAATTTCGACATTACACCTGATCAACACCTACAGTAAGCATTGGTTAACATCTAGCGTAAGCACGGGTTAACATCAAGAGTAAGTATTGCTTGACACCTAGAGTCAGCATTGGTTAACACCAAGAGTAAGCATTGATTAACACCTAGAGTAAGCATTTGTTAACTGCTAGAGTAAGCATTGATTAACATCAAGAGTAAGCATTGATTAACATCAAGAGTAAGCATTGATTAACATCAAGAGAAAGCATTGGTTAACACTTAGAGTGAGCATTGATTAACACCTAGAGTGAGCATTGATTAACACCTAGAGTAAGCATTGGTTAACACCTAGAGTAAGCATTGGTTAACACCTTGGATAAGCATGGGTTTACACCTAGAGTGAGCATTGATTAACACCAAGAGTAAGCATTGATTAACACCTAGAATAAACATTGGTTAACACCTAGAGTAAGCATTGATTTACATCAAGAGTAAGCATTGGTTAACACCTAGAGTAAGCATTGGTTAACACCGAGAGTAAGCATTGATTAACACCTAGAGTAAGCATTGGTTAACACCTAGAGTAAGCATTGGTTAACGCCTAGAGTAAGCATTGATTAGCACCAAGAGTAAGCATTGGTTAACACCTAGAGTAAGCATTGTTTAACACCTAGAGTAAGCATTGGTTAACACCTAGAATAAGCATTGGTTAACGCCCAGAGTGAGCATTGATTAACACCTAGAGTAAGCATTGTTTAACACCTAGAGTAAGCATTGGTTAACACCTAGACTAAGCATTGGTTAACACCTAGAGTAAGCATTGGTTAACGCCTAGAGTAAGCATTGATTAGCACCAAGAGTAAGCATTGGTTAACACCTAGAGTAAGCATTGGTTAACACCTTGGATAAGCATGGGTTTACACCTAGAGTGAGCATTGATTAACACCAAGAGTAAGCATTGATTAACACCTAGAATAAACATTGGTTAACACCTAGAGTAAGCATTGATTTACATCAAGAGTAAGCATTGGTTAACACCTAGAGTAAGCATTGGTTAACACCGAGAGTAAGCATTGATTAACACCTAGAGTAAGCATTGGTTAACACCTAGAGTAAGCATTGGTTAACGCCTAGAGTAAGCATTGATTAGCACCAAGAGTAAGCATTGGTTAACACCTAGAGTAAGCATTGTTTAACACCTAGAGTAAGCATTGGTTAACACCTAGAGTAAGCATTGGTTAACGCCCAGAGTGAGCATTGATTAACACCTAGAGTAAGCATTGTTTAACACCTAGAGTAAGCATTGGTTAACACCTAGAGTGAGCATTGATTAACACCTAGAGTAAGCATGAACACCTGGAATAAGCATTCTGTGGTAATAATGTCTCACGTGTACTCAATACAAATCTTAAGATATGAGTTGTTCTTTTCAGGATGTGTGCATAACTTCATGTACGACTGCACATAAAGTTGCTCCCCTTAGTCACAGCCGATATCTGTGCGTGCGTGCGCGTGCGTGTGTGTGCGTGCGTGCGTGAGTGAGTGAGTGAGTGAGTGAGTGAGTGAGTGAGTGAGTGAGTGGGTGGGTGAGTGAGTGAGTGAATGAGTGAGTGCGTGCCTGTGTGTCCAAATATCTAAACAACATATAATTCCTTTGTTTTTATTTTGACTTTTGATAATTTTATATCCTCATTAACAGTCTAATAAAGTTACAACGATATAAGCGATATATCGAGTTTTCCATACTTCGAGACAAGCGAAGTGTCTACATTCATGTAAGGGTATATTGTTAGGCTGGGGATTCTGACAGGCTAATTAAAACGTATTCGACGTACACGACGTATCGAGTTAAAGGAGTTCGAGTTTACGAATTATCGAAACAATATATATCTCATTCGTACTTACTCTATACAACAGAATATCACATTAATCGCTTATCAGATTTGTCAACCAGGACGTTTTCGACTCAATGAAATACATATCTGACTTGCTTTTCTCGAACACGATTATACATATGTACATAGGAAATATTTCTATATACAACTAATTCTATTACATGTTCTGAATTATAGAGGTCCATACCTCCAGAAGTATTGGCTACCTGCCGCTCTCGCCCGACGGCATAAATATGTCACCTTCCATGACATTCAAGGTCAAAGGATGTGGGAAGTTGTCTCTAGCATTTCACAATATGAATCGGATGGCATTTGCAATTCGCCGACACGAGATTCAAATTGACAACAGAGCAGCCTACTCAGTAACAACCACCATAGCAACGGGATATGGATCCACCTTCAAAGGTTTACGTGTCCTCAAGAACGGAAGAATGCAACAGGGGAACAGATGCAGCGATTTCCGAACCTTTCGGGTAAATTATTCGGGAAATACCTTGCTGTTTGAGGGATGTGATTTGAGGAACGAAACACTGTTGAGATTGTCCGCACCTGACTTGGCAATGCATCAATATATGAGTGCCTTCAGTGAGAATCAAGCAGACTGGGTGTTCGGTAAGAATATATATTGTAGTTATATTCGTCATTGATCAAGTAGTGTGTATCTACTTAGGAGCGTCCACTTGTGTTCCTGGGGCTTGGATTTGTTCCCGAAAATTCTTGGGGAATTGTCCTCAGGTTTTTGAATAGAAATACATATCGTTCACTGTAACCCGGGTCTTCAGCGTGACGAGCGAACGCTTTAACCACTAGGCTACCCCACCGCCCCGCCTAGGTTTTGAACCACTGACAGAAATAAATATTCTGTCTCAAGTAAAGATCCAAACTTTTCTATGACTGAGTCGGACAATGGAACTTCAGTGTTTTAATGCAGTAGAATTAAGAAGGAACAAGGAGTCCGTGGGTTAGTAAGTGACGACCACGACTGACACAACTGCAGCATCTGCAACGGCAAGGGTAGAATGGGAGTGTAGCAGTTGATGGAATCGTCATGCCACAAACTCAATAGTTGATATTTATTCAGTACTGGTCAATCGATAATTTCGACATTACACCTGATCAACACCTACAGTAAGCATTGGTTAACATCTAGCGTAAGCACGGGTTAACATCAAGAGTAAGTATTGCTTGACACCTAGAGTCAGCATTGGTTAACACCAAGAGTAAGCATTGATTAACACCTAGAGTAAGCATTTGTTAACTGCTAGAGTAAGCATTGATTAACATCAAGAGTAAGCATTGATTAACATCAAGAGTAAGCATTGATTAACATCAAGAGAAAGCATTGGTTAACACTTAGAGTGAGCATTGATTAACACCTAGAGTGAGCATTGATTAACACCTAGAGTAAGCATTGGTTAACACCTAGAGTAAGCATTGGTTAACACCTTGGATAAGCATGGGTTTACACCTAGAGTGAGCATTGATTAACACCAAGAGTAAGCATTGATTAACACCTAGAATAAACATTGGTTAACACCTAGAGTAAGCATTGATTTACATCAAGAGTAAGCATTGGTTAACACCTAGAGTAAGCATTGGTTAACACCGAGAGTAAGCATTGATTAACACCTAGAGTAAGCATTGGTTAACACCTAGAGTAAGCATTGGTTAACGCCTAGAGTAAGCATTGATTAGCACCAAGAGTAAGCATTGGTTAACACCTAGAGTAAGCATTGTTTAACACCTAGAGTAAGCATTGGTTAACACCTAGAATAAGCATTGGTTAACGCCCAGAGTGAGCATTGATTAACACCTAGAGTAAGCATTGTTTAACACCTAGAGTAAGCATTGGTTAACACCTAGACTAAGCATTGGTTAACACCTAGAGTAAGCATTGGTTAACGCCTAGAGTAAGCATTGATTAGCACCAAGAGTAAGCATTGGTTAACACCTAGAGTAAGCATTGGTTAACACCTTGGATAAGCATGGGTTTACACCTAGAGTGAGCATTGATTAACACCAAGAGTAAGCATTGATTAACACCTAGAATAAACATTGGTTAACACCTAGAGTAAGCATTGATTTACATCAAGAGTAAGCATTGGTTAACACCTAGAGTAAGCATTGGTTAACACCGAGAGTAAGCATTGATTAACACCTAGAGTAAGCATTGGTTAACACCTAGAGTAAGCATTGGTTAACGCCTAGAGTAAGCATTGATTAGCACCAAGAGTAAGCATTGGTTAACACCTAGAGTAAGCATTGTTTAACACCTAGAGTAAGCATTGGTTAACACCTAGAGTAAGCATTGGTTAACGCCCAGAGTGAGCATTGATTAACACCTAGAGTAAGCATTGTTTAACACCTAGAGTAAGCATTGGTTAACACCTAGAGTGAGCATTGATTAACACCTAGAGTAAGCATGAACACCTGGAATAAGCATTCTGTGGTAATAATGTCTCACGTGTACTCAATACAAATCTTAAGATATGAGTTGTTCTTTTCAGGATGTGTGCATAACTTCATGTACGACTGCACATAAAGTTGCTCCCCTTAGTCACGCCAGGATCTGCTTCCATGAGTGTCATATCCAACTTGTGTTCCGAGTATGATCTTTTCGCAACCGGAACTACAGCCATATATTTCAAGTAGTAAACGTGTTTTCTTTTCTTCAGGTGTAAAGGATTTCTGCAATAACACCATACGACCTGTCACACCATTGCCTCCCGGTAAGTAACTAAAGAACTCATATCAACAAGTGCGTTTGTTTCTGATTGTATGTCTGAATGTGAACGTGTGGGTGTGGGTGAGTGGCTGGTATATTGATTTTTCTACAATATGTTTACCCTCACATTTACCTTCAGGTAACCTTTCGTCAATGTGAGCCTGTCACACCATCGTTATTGTGTAAGGTAAGGTGAGGTGAAATTGGGTCTGAGGTGTGTGTTGTGTGTGTTAGTGTGTGTGTGTTAGTGTTAGTGTTAGTGTTAGTGTGTGTGTGTGTGTGTGTGTGTGTGTGTGTGTGTGTGTGTGTGTGTGTGTGTGTGTGTGTGTGTGTGTGTGTGTGTGTGTGTGTGTGTGTGTGTGTGTGTGTGTGTGTGTGTGTGTCAGTCAAATTTGGGGAAAGGGCATTAAGGCAAGACGTACGCATCTCTATGGGGCCAACGTGAATCTCTAATCGCTTTAATCAAATGGAAGGTCGGGTAGCCTAGTGGTTAAAGCGTTCGCTCGTCACGCCGAAGACCCGGGTTCAATTCCCGACATGGGTACAATGTGTGAAGCCCATTTCTGATGTCCCCCGTCGTGCTATTGCTGCAATATTGCTAAAAGCGGCGTAAAACCATACTCACTCACTCATTCTTTGTTCAAATGAATCGGATTTATGTTCGGACTGGCAAAATCAGAACACGGGAATTTTCCCAAGACATTTTACTTACGCTTCAGGTATATCGATGTTATTTTGTTAAATAATTGTCAAATAGACAATCACCTTCCGCTGAGTTACTCGACCAAACTAGAAATAACAGAGGCCAATGAAACCGCCTCATCTGTTTCATATTTAGACCTATGCATAAAGATTCAGAATGACAAAATAGTGTAGTTTGATTTCTTTCAATGACATAGAGCATAGTCTTGTCCTTACTTTGTTGTCCCTGAAGGTTCATTTTTCCCCGATGGTTCCTGAAAGAGAGGCAACAATTTTTAAATCTTAGGTTGGTCCTTTGAAGAATCAGTAACACCGTAGGTGCTGAGAGGCCAGTATCCTGTCTTCACTCCACAAACTAGACTTCTTGCATAGGGAGACGGTAGCCTGCTTAATCCTGCCCAATCAGAGAGGATAACGAATTTAATGTCTTGCTGGTTAATATATTGGGAGTATACATGACCAATATCATCTTCCCGAGGCAAGAGAGTTAACTGACTTTAAAAGTCCAGTTTCCACCCTTACCGAACTAGGCTGGAATTCCTAGGCTCGATCGTAGCGCCACCAGTGGCTATTACGAGTTATGTCCTTTCTATGCCTCTCCTATTGACCAATCAGATTCAACCTCTCGTATCACTTGCATTTGCTTCAAACAAAACGGTGGCGCCCAGTCAAGACGATCTGATTGATAATCAAGATCTATATTGTGATAAAACGAGTCTTACATCGCGAAGTGCATCAAATCACGTGAGCACCTTGATTAAAAGCATGAAAAGATTTATCTGTTAACAACGAGTTAGCGGTGCACATGCTTTGCAAATCCTGCAGTCGACCGAAATCTGCATGACACTCAAAGAACCGGATTTCGATTTCAGTGCGCGATTTTGATTGGACTATGCATAGACTCGTTAGTCCAGCCAAAATGTAACTCCATAATACCAGCCTATTTCGGCAAGGGTTGAAACTGGACTTTTAAAATTTATAGTCAGTTAACTCACTTGCCTCGGGAATATGGACCAATATCAGCACAGAGTGACAATAACGAAGTCACCACTTCAGAATCAAAACCACACTGTAACCCTGGCTATGTTTGAACGGGAAATCCTGTGTCCCCACCTGAAAAGTCGACGCCGACTGAAACATCTTCACCACGGGGAGATGCTGTAGAGGTATCTGCCGTTCAGAGTGTTTCGCGACGGGTGAGTCAGTGATACAGTTAACGGAGTCGATGGCGTTTAATCGCCGCTTTTCGCAGTAATCCAGTGAAAGATATCTGCCACGGAATGCACACACTTAGGGGTTCAGACCAGGTTCGTGACCGTGCCGCGCGAACACTTCCATCACTAGGCTAACCAAATTCCCCCCGGGGTAGGTACATATGTATGTACGTCGACTCATGTCAAAGACGGGGTTGACTTTCCGTTGCATGTGTTTGTAACGGGTGCCGGGGCAGGATACGCTCAACATTTCGAGATCACCTGGTATCGTCATTATTTCACGCGAGCAAAGGACAAGCAGGTTCGGAGAGATGAACGACTTGTGAAATACTTGCCCGTGTTTCCCATGAGATCATATTTTGCTCTTTATTCTAGTTCCAGGAAAGAAAGACCCTTCCAGAAGTGCATGTGGCCCCAACTCCGCATCACCAGGTAAGACATAAGTATATACAGGTGAGTACAATCACAAAGATATGTTATTTTCAGATTAACTTTGTTTTCTATAATTCGATGCTTGGTTTTTTCAAACCCTATACTTCCCACGCTTTGCATACTAAGTAATAGCAGCAATAAAGTATTGGAGGTAAGGTGAAATGGGGTTTAACGTCGCGTCTAAGATTAGTGCACTTATATAGCGAAGTGTATGCACGTGTGTGCGTGCGTGCGTGCGTGCGTGCGAGCGTGTGTGTGTGCGTGCGAGCGTGCGTGCGTGCGTGCGCGCGTGCGTACGAGCGAGCGAGCGAGCGAGCGTGCGTGCGTGTGTGCGTGCGAGCGTGCGTGCGTGCGTGCGTGCGAGCGAGCGTGCGTGCGTGCGAGCGTGTGTGCGTGCGAGCGAGCGAGCGTGCGTGCATGTGTGCGTGCGTGCGTGCGTGCGTGTGTGTGAGAGTCCAGACTGATGCCGATTTTAAAGTGACAGCCAACCGTGAGATACCATGCCGCATTTTAACATGAATACCCCACTGAGGCTCAGTACACTGACTCCGATCCGACGAGTTCTTGTTTTAGCCCCTAATGCCAGACAGGGTAATGCGCACACACCACTAGACCACGGAGGCGGTCGTATAAATTATTGGAAAACAAATAACTGATCAACTAAAAAACATTGTTTAAACAAACGATATCGGTAACTTAGGACCAAAGTAACTCAGCAGGTTGTTCTGTCTACATCTCCTCATATGTGAGACGTCACTCTGGAATACAATGACGTCATAAATAAATATGACGTCATAAGCCGTATGACACCTGAACATCCCACTTTACATATATTATTGTAGCCATGGTGAATACCCCGATTGTTTCATTTTGTGTGGTACACTTTCCAGTCTACGAATAACTTTATAAACGAATTGTGACAAACCATAATGAGCACGCACAGAAAAATGTGTTTTCATTCCCTTTCAACTTGCAAATGTGTGTGTATAAATACCATCTTATTGTGGTCCATATTGTGAAATATATACTGGAATAACATATTCATTATAACGACGTTGCCTGTTGGTGAAAAACGGTGCAGTTTGACATAAAACCATTTTTCGTTTTTGACTTGTAGCATGTGATAACAGCAGTGTTAATCAACCGGCAAAGGGAGGTAACACAGGTTGGGGAGACAACCCCTACAAGACAACTGGACCAACGACAACTTCAGTCCCGTATCCATTGGTGACGGGGACTGTTGCTGACGATACAGTCATGTCGAGACCTTCAACATCCAGCAACTTCTCATCCGGCAACTCAACATCAGCTACAGAACAGGAGGAACGCGAAAAGTTCAAAGGGGGGTTGGAAAAAATATCCAAAGCTTTGGGAAGTTCCTGTAGGAGTCTGACGTCCTTCACTTTCACTAATATCATTCTTATTTCGTGTATCTGTTCCTTCGCTATATACTCGCTCTGACATACGGAAATGGTGTTGTCGGGCCGATGAAGATATATGTGTAGCATCTGAGGCCATAAGACGTATATATCAGTTATTACTGCTGTTATATCACAGAATATTTGACACATGACCTTTCTGAGTGTTGGTTGGTCCATTTTCTTGAGTATATTTATTATCACGATTCGAGTTGGCCACAATGACTAATATCAAAGCCCAGCTTTTAGTAAATATGTTGTAAATAAATTCAACTTTACTTCCATCTTTAACATAGTTTGTTTTCTTGTTTAAGTGTCTCTGTTGTTGTCGTCCCTGTGAACACCCCGTTGTGGACCCAGCGCTTGTCTTTGTTCTTCACTGTGGTAGTTCTCTCTTACTCACCTTCCGATCCACTCACCTATCCACTCCTCACTCACCACCCACCTACTCTCTCTCTCTCGCTCACCTATCCACCCACTCACTCACCACCTACCTACTCTCTCACCTATCCACCCACTCACTCACCACCTACCTACTCTCTCTCACTCGCTCACCTATCCACCCACTCACTCACTCACCACCCACCTACTCTCTCACTCGCTCACCTATCCACCCACTCACTCACCACCCAACTACTCTCTCTCTCTCGCTCACCTATCCACCCACTTACTCACTCACCACCCACCTACTCTCTCACTCGCTCACCTATCCACCCACTCACTCACCACCCACCTACTCTCTCTCTCTCTCGCTCACTTATCCACTCACTCACTCACCACCTACCTACTCTCTCACTCGCTCACCTATCCACCCACTCACTCACTCACTCACTCACATTCCAATCCACTCACCTATCCACCCACTCACTCACTCACCCACCTACTCTCTCACTCACTCACCTATCCACCCACCTACTCTCTCACTCACATTCCAATCCACTCACCCACCCACCTACTCTCTCACTCACCTATCCACCCACTCACTCAACCACCCACCTACACTCTCACTCACCTATCCACTCACTCACTCACTCACCCGCCCACCTACTCTCTCGCTCACCTATCCACCAACACACTCACTCATTCACTCACTCACTCGATCACACACCCAAACCCAACCACCAACTCACTGACTCACTCACCCACGCACACACTCACTCACTCACTCACTCACTCACTGGTTCTAGTAGCCAGACTACTAGTAACTGTCGCAATCACCATCCAATCCGTACTGTACTTCATCTTCACAACTGACACAGATACAGTAACCGGATTGTGATAAACCTCAAGTATGCTCCTTGAACCCTAATGACCCCTTATCAAATACGTCAAATCATTGATGGATTCAAGGAACCGAGTTCACTGTCTGAAAAAGTGTTCTTTCTGAATTCATCCAGTTACAGCAATGTTTATTTTCAGTAGAACGTCAAAGAATCTTCATTAAGGTACTGACGCCCTAGTGATACCACAGCTTCATTTAAACACCAGTAGACCTGTGAAGATCCGGGGTAGAATAGACCTTTAACAACCCATGCTTGTCGTAAGAGGCGACTAAGGGATCGGGTGGTCAGGCTCGCTGATTTTGTTGATGCATGTCATCGTTTCCCAAATGCATGGATCGAGGCGCATGATCAATCAATGGATTGTCTGGTCCAGATTCGATTATTTACAGACCGCCGTCATATAGCTGGAATATTGCTGAGTGTGGCGTTAAACAACAAACAAACAAATTAAACACAAGTTCTCCGTGGTTTAATGATACATTAGTTACTGAAAGTTTAATAACGCTTGGATTCAGCATTAAAGTTTGATACAACTTGGTCCAGACCATTAGCAACACTCACAATAATCACCTGACCCATATTGTAGTACTAGTACTTCTACAGCTGACACAGCTTCCCCGTGAGGAACCGAGTCAACATTGGTCTTCAGCAACCCAGGCTTGTCGGACAGGCGACTAACGGGATCGGGTGGTCGGGCTCGCTGACTTGGTTGACGCCTGTCATTGGGTCCCATCTGCGAAAATCGATGCTCATGATATCAACCACTGAATTGTCTGATATGAGTTATTTACAGGCAAACGCCATACATCTGGAATAACAAACTAACGCGAGTACGAGCAACATAAACACATTAAGATTACGAGTATGCGACATTATTGTCCCTGCAACAATTCAGTCAAGCGGCTGTAAAATGTTCTCTCAGGCACCAAGCACGGCGCGATCAATCCGCCACACCTCCCATTTGTTTAAGGTGAGGTGAAATGGGGTTTAACGTCACGTCCAAGATTATTGCACTTATATAGCGACGTGCATGTACGTGTGTGTGTTTGTGTGGCTGCTTGTACTAGTCCGGACTAATGCCGATTTATAGTGCTAGCTCACTGAGATACTTTGTCGCAGTTTAACATGAATACCCCACTCAGACAAAGTATACTGACTCCGAGCCGACCAGTCCTTGTTTAAGCCCCTTAATGCTGAGCGCCAGACAGGGTAACAACAAGTACCATCTTTTAACGTATTTTGGTATGACGCGGGCGGGGATCGAACCCCGGACCTTCCTCTCTCCAGGCGGATGCTCTACCACTAGACCACGGAGGCGTTCCCATTTGTTTAAGACTTCTTTAAACAGAGCTCACGTTTTATTTCAAAAACCTGGACGACCTTGGCGAACGCGCGTTGACCAAAGAATGACCAGTGTTAACTTTGTTTGACCAATGTTAGCACATGTTAACTGACTGTCATCACGCTTCAGTTGCCCTAAGTTGCTCATACCTTTGAACCCCAGGGTGCGGTCGCCGTCCCCACATGACGTCATCGTTAAAGCTAACTAGTATTTTTTTTTTTATTGATTCTGTCACGAATAGAAATATTTTAACGAGGCATTGATAGTATGTATGTATTCTGAATAGCGTCAGAATTTAAATTTCGATTGTTAGCATAAATACTTTATAGTCAATAATGAACCTTCAACACGTTACTTTCAGCTCCTTTGTTATAAATGCATTATATGGAAAAAGATACTTTATGACAATGGGAGCTTTATCCGGCAATACAACACTTGTTAACTCCTTCTCGTTTGTTCTATCATACATATTCCTAAGGTACAGTGTGTCTCCTCTTGACTGTCATTTGATATTGTCTTAGGTTACATTTGGATGTGACCCGTGAAGATTCCGGGGTAGAATAGGTCTTCAGCAACCCATGCTTGTCGTAAAAGGGGACTATGCTTGTCGTAAAAGGCGACTGACGGGATCGGGTGGTCAGGCTCGCTGACTTGGTTGATGCATGTCATCGATCTCAATTGCGTGGATCGATGCTCATGATGTCAATCACTGCATTGCCTGGTCCAGATTCGATTATTTACAGACCACCGTCATATAGCTGAAATATTGCTGAGTGCGGCGTTAAACAACAAACAAACCCAAAACATTTGGATGTTCTGTTTCAGGCTCTGTTATGTCCTGTGTTCTCTTTGATTAACCCTGGTTAACTCAGGTTGAATCCAATCGACCCTTGGTTCCAGAAATGTGGTAACGCCAGTTGGCTCAGTTCACTCAATAGTCATAAGCACCTACTATTTCAGTCAAATGTTTGCTTACTGTGGAGGAAACGACAAAAGGGAACTAAGACGTTTATAACCAGTGCAAATTATGTGATAATTTTTCTGACTAAAAACGACCGGCGGTCACAAAGCAACCACATTTTGATCATTTGGATTTTCAAAGAATTCGAAAAATATTATGTTATATAGGTGGTATAGCTAATTCTTTAGGGGAAAAAATATAAACTAAAGTTTTTAAAATGGCCTATAGCTACCTGAAATGAATATACCAAACTTGCCTTTAACTCTTCCATCAAAACGTACCAATTGTCTGTCCTACTAATGGAAATGACTGTACCCATAAATAACATAAGTTACACTAAGTGAGCGTTTGTCCGCCCCCGCATAATCACAGCCCCGTTTAAAGTGATACCAGTGCACTCTCGCCCACCGGTAGAGAGGTGAGGTGAGGTTAAATGGGGTTTAACGTCGCGTCCAAGATTATTGCACTTATAAAGAGACGTGCATGTACGTGTGTGTGTGTGTGTGTGTGGCTGCTTGTACTAGTCCGGACTGATGCCGATTTATAGTGCTAGCTCACTGAGATACTATGCCGCAGTTTAACTTGAATACCCCACTCAGACAAAGTATACTAACTCCGAGCCGACCAGTCCTTGTTTTAGACCCTTAATGCCGAACGCCAGACAGGGTAACAACAAGTACTATCTTTAACCGTCTTTAGGTATGACGCGGTCGGGGATCGAACCCCGGACCTTCCGGTCTCCGGGCGGACGCTCTACCACTAGACCACGGAGGCAGGTAGAGAACATAGACCGGATAAATTTCTCCCCCACCGGCGCATTCATTTCCCGCCCCCTCAGGTATAAAGTCTCACCGCGTCGTTTCCATTTTTTTTATCCCCAACGGTTTCTATTCCACCATTTTACTGTGGTATTTCTCTTTATATATTACTAGTATTTGTCAAAGGAACAAACATGGGTTTTATTGTTTTTTTCTGGTTAATCCTGGCTCATGCAAAACGATAGAAGACCTCCGTGGTCTAGTGATTTTCCGGAGAGCGTGCATGCACGTTTGAACGCGACGTTAAATTCAATTTCACCTCACCTCACCTCACCTCACCTCACCTCACCTCAAAGCAATAGAGGGCGGTCGGGTAGCCCAGTGGTTAAAGCGTTCGCTCGTCACGCCGAAGACCCGGGTTCGATTCTCGACATGGGTTTGGTTTTACCCCACTTTTAGCAATATTCCAGCAATATCACGGCGGGGGACACCAGAAATCGGATTCACACATTGTACCCATGTCGGGAATCGAACCCGGGTCGAACGCTTTAACCAAAAGACTACCGGATATATGAAAGAGGAAAATAATTATGTACCATATATCATATAAATCATTTAGCACCAAATTAAGTCGGTGGAGGGGTATTGTCAAATATATTCCACACACGATTTAGAAATGATATCCTAGGGAGGATATGTACCAGACACGTCATATAAATGATTCAGTATAATAGACTGGAGAGAATATATATTCAGTCAACACATGATTAGAAATTATATATAATATGTACCGAATATAGCGTATACATTATTCAGTGTGTATGTAATAGACGGGGTGTGTTTATATACAATATACAATACATACAAATAGAATTATATATGAGGGGGTTAA